AGTTTCATTTTTAATGGATATTGTATTTTGTGAAAAGTTTTTTTTTTCATCTGCTAGTATAATTTGGGGCATCTTAATCTATTTTGTGCTGCTAAAACAGAATACCATAGACTGGCTAATTTATAAAGAACAGAGATTTATTTCTTACAGTTCTGGAGGCTGGGAAGTCCAAGATCATGTGGCCACATCTCTTGAGGGCCTTCTGGCTTCATCATCCCATGGTAGAAGGTAAAAGGGCAAGAGAGTGTACTTAGGTGTGTGCCTGTGCACACGAGTGATGGGGCCAAACTTATCCTTTTATCAGGAACTGTTTTCTGAGTTAACTAAACCATTCCATCAATAATGCCATTAATTTATTCGTGAGGGCAGAAGCCTCTATTCATGAAGGTACAGCCCTCATGACCTAATCACCTCTTAAAGGTCCTACCTCTTAATGCTGTTGCATTGGAGGTTAAGTTCCAACACATGAACTTTGGAGGATGCATTCAAACCATACCATGGAGTTTTACATCTTTAGAATGGATTGCTTTGATTCATTTTCATATGTTGAACCAGACTTGTGTTCCTGAGATAAACCATGCTTTCTTGTGGTATATGAATTACTTATTTTATATATGGCCAAATTTCACTTGTATTTTATAGGATTCTTACGTTTATGTTCATGAGGGATATTGATTTGTGCTTTTCTTTTTTTGTATCATTTATTTTTCTGGTTTTTATGTCAGGGTAATACTGGCCTCACAAAATAAGGTGATATGTAATTTCCTGTCTTCTAGTTTCATGGAGAGATTGTATAGAATTGATGCTATTTCTTCTTTAAATGTATGGTAAAATTTGCTAGTGAAACCATCTAGACCTGAGTATTTTGGGGGAAGATTTTTAATTACAAATTCAATTTCAGTAATATTTATAGAAGGATTTAGATTATTTGTTACATTTTGGATACGTTTTGGCAGTTTGTGCTTTTTGAGGAATTTGTTTCATCTGTGTTGTCAAATTTATGTGTTTAGAATTGCTATTATATACTCTTGTCATTGTAATACCTATGAAATTTCTACCTTTCGTTCCTGAGTTTTTATTTCATCTATTATATTTTTAGTTCAAAATATCCATTTGATTCTTACTTATATCTTGTTTCTTCACTGAGTGCTTCTGTTTTAAACATTTGTTCTAAGATTGCTTGTTATTGTTCATTCAAGCTTTTTTATAATAGCTAATTTAAGATAATTTAATGTCTTTTCTCATAATTCATGTCTGTTGTCTTTTTCCATATGAATTGACATTTTTATGGTTATTTGCATACTGATTGATTGTAGTTTGTATCCTGGACATTGTGAGTATTGTTTTGAGATTCTGTTTATATCATTGTTTATATCCTATGGAGAAGGTCTATATTTTTGTTTTAGCCTTTTGTGTGTTTTGGTTCCAACATCAATTCAGTTTTCAAGCCTTTTGTAGCACTATTTAGGTCTGTCCTGCGTGTGTACCATCTAGTGGTCAGTCTGAGACTTTGAGGGAGGTCTACTTTCTAGTTGAGTTTCCAAATCTTTGGTATGCACATGAAGATCAAAGTAGTCACAAGTCAGAGGTAAGCCCAGGGGTTCAAATCAATTATACACTGTTGCTTTTTCAAAACTCTTCCCTCTCCTTTATCTTTTCAGTACTTTTCAGTTCTCTGGGCTCTCATTTTCTGTATTCTCTTCAAAAACTAGCCACTGTCATGGTTGTAGCATTTCCAGAAACAAGTAGCAGGAGGAGAGAGCAAGAACAAGAAAGAGAGAGAGAAGTAAAGAGAGAGACAGAGGAAAAACTAGAATAAAGGTGTCATCCTGGTGGGCCACAATTGCTTCTGAGCCACGTTTGCTTTTACTACGTCCACTGTAGGACCAAAGAAGTAGTAAAACCCAAGGGATTTCCCCGACTCTCTCTGAATTTGAGTTCTCTTTACACTCCTTGAGCCAAAACTCCAAGATTTCTGCATCTCTGTCTGCTAAACAGTGCTCATTTTGGATTACACACCATGTTGAATTCAGGCTCATAATACAGAACGGGAGAAAAGTAATGTTGAATTTGCAGTTGTTTAGTTGGTACTTCAAACTCTGGTGTCTTCTCTGATACCAGATTTACCTTTCCATTTTCATATAGATGTCCATGCATTCTATCAGAGTTTTATATTTGAGTTAGTGAGAGATAAAAGGTCTGAGAATTGAATCCAACTATATACGTTTTGTAAACAGCATGTAGTTGGATCCTAGTTTTAAATCTAATCTAACCACCTTGGTCTGTAATTGGAATGTTTAGTCAATTCACATTTAAAGTGATTGTCAATATAGTTAGAATAAAATCTACCATCTTTCTGTTTTCTTTTCTTTATATGTGCTCTTGATGGTTTCCATTTATTGTATTTGGCTTTTGTTTCCTTTTCCCCTCTTTTTTCTGCCTTTTGTTATTTTATTTGATCATTTTGTATGATCCCATTTTGTCTCATGTATTTATTATTTAGATAGCTTTTAAATAAACTTTTTAGTGGTCTTCATAAAGTTTGCAATGTACATTTTTATATAATTTGTTTTACCTTCAAATAACACTACTGCTTCATGTGTGGTACAAGGCTATCCCAAATTCCTTCCTTCCATTCTTTGTGTCATTGTTGTATTCCATTATTTTTTTTTTTACAAATGCTATAAACATATAATGCATTGCTACTATTATTGCTTTAAATAATCAGTTATATTTTAGAACAATTAAGAATATGATAAGTAAAGTTATATTTTTCTTCATTTATTCCTTTTGCAACACTCTTCCTTTAATTATGTACACCCAGTTTTCAGACCTGTATCATATCCCTCTGTCTGAAGAATTTCCTTTAATGTTTTTTGTAAGGCAGTCTACTCATGTTGAGTTTCCTCAGTTTTTGTTTGTCTGAAAAAGTATTTTGTCTTAATTTTTGAAGGATGTTTTTGCAGGAGTTGGAATTCGGGATTGGCATTTTCTTCTTTGAACACTTTAAAGGTTTCATTCCACTGTCTTTTTGCTTATGTGGTTTCTGACAAGAAGTCTCGTATAATTCTTCTCTTTGTTCCTGTGAAGGTAAGATGTTCCCCACCTACCACCTTCTTCCTGGCTGTCTTCAAGATTTTATTTTCATCTTGATTTTCTGCAATTTGAATTTGATATGTCTGGGTGTGGTTTTTGGTTTGGTTTTGGTATTTACCCTGGTTGGTGTTCTCTGAGCTTCTTGAATCTGTGGTTTGGTGTCAGTCATTAAATTGGAAAATTTTGGCCATTATGTCTTCAAATATTTCTTCTGCCTTATTCTTTCGTCCCCTTCTTGTGTTCTAAATACATATGTTATACCGTTTGATATTGTTCCATAGTTCTTGGATGTTTTGTGTGACCTATCTCCAAGTTCACTGATTCCTCAGCTGTGCAGAGTCTACTGATGAGCACATCAAAGACAGTCTTCAGATCTGTTACTGTGTTTTTTTCTCTCCCATTTATATATGACTTTTTCTTATACTTTTCACACCCCTGCCAAAATTACCTATCTGATCTTGCGATAAACTTTTTCAATAGAGCCTTTCACATACTGATAATAGCTATTTTAAGTTTCCTAGCTGATACAGATGAAAACAATAGACAAAAGAGACTCCAAAAGAGAGAACAGAGGGAGGGAGCAAGAGTTGAAAAGCTAAGTATTGGGTCCTATAATCACTATTTGGGTGATGGGTTCACTAGAAGCCCAAACCCCACCATGACACAATACCTACACATATAACACGTAACAAACATGTAACATGTAACTACACATGTAACAAACATACACATATACCCACTGAATCTATAATGTAAAAAAAGAAAGTAAAATAATCCAAATCAATAAACAAATTCCTTGTCTGATATTTCCAATATCTGTGTCATAACTGATTCTGGTCCTAATGATTGTTTTTCTCTTTAGATGTTGTTTTTATTCTTTGCCTTGATTCTTATTGTGCTGCACCCTGGAGATAGTATATCTCTTATAAATGTATTCCACTGTTATTTTTACTGATGCTTTTTAGCCTGGTAGTAGGGGAATGGGGACCAGGGACGTTCTCTGCTATTCTGATTGAGTCTCAGTCTGAGGCAGGCTTACCCTGAGTGTTGGAGGTATAACCTTCACAAGTGTTCCTGCCCTTCCTCCTATGTTCTAACCTAGGTGGGCTTAGCACATTTTCCTGCCCCTCCCGGGTTAGAACATATTTTTTTCAATTTTCTCCCCCAGATGTAGTGAGTTTTCACCAGTGCCCTCAGTTTCTGTTGCTCTTTTTTCTGAAGACTAAGACTTTTTTCCCTTAGGGAAGATAAGGTAGATTGGTATGGGCAGAGTTTCAGTGATGTTGGCCATTCTTCTCTGCCAGCTGCAGTGAGTTTCTCCCAGTACTTTCAAACTATAGTTTTTGTTTCTTTTTCCTGAATAGTAAGACTTTTGCTCCATAGAGAATGTAGGAAAAATAGTCTGTGCAGAATTTCAGCAACGGCTATTGTACTGTTCTCTCCAAGCCAGAACTACAGGATATCTTTCTCAGGATTCTCCTCAGTCTTTCTTGTCAGCACCTGGGGGAGTTCCTGGAGGAAAACTCTGCAAAGGGATGCAAAACTGCTTATGCAGCCCATACAGGCTTCACATTCTCACGAGCCCGTAACCAGCCTTTAGCAATTCATTAATAATTTTTAGCTGAATCTTCTTATGAGTTTGTATGTTGTCCAGTGGTATCTACACCTGGTAAAGAAATGCCTGGTCCTGCAGCTCCCTTGAAGATGCTTGTTTCTACAGATTTGGGGTACTGCAGCCTCAGTTTTCTGATAAGTCCAAGAAAAGTTCTCAATTTTCACTTTCCCAGCTTTTTCTCATACTGTAATGGTGGGAGAAATGTTCTTTACAACTCTACATTTCTGACCTAATACCGGAAGAGCATATGAATCTGAGGATAAGCTTTCGAGGTCTGTTTGTCTTTCAGCATCCATACCGCAGTTTACCAATTCCCCCACGATGGTGATCATGGTGGGTTTACCAGCTCGAGGCAAGACCTATATCTCCACGAAGCTCACACGATATCTCAACTGGATAGGAACACCAACTAAAGGTAGGTCTCTGAAAGCCTTTGTTCAACAACCCTATAAAAGCCACTGACTGAAAACCTTACTTAGGTAGAAGGCCAAAGTCCTCAATACCAGAAATGCCCCATCATTATTATTACCAGCATCAGGATTACTGCTGTCACTATGACTACATTCTTATACATTTTATGACTTCTGGAGCACATACTTTGTGCCCAACACCATGCTAGGTGCTAGCCATAGGAAAACTAGTATTCAGATTAAATGTCTTCTCTCAAGAAGTTCCATGACCTCAAAACAATCCTGTGACTAACATACTATTTTTATTGCCATTACTATTATTGCCATACCAATATTACAACTTTTATTAGCATTACCACTTCTTCACCATTTCATAGTTGAGGAAATTAAGACCCAAGAGGTGAAGTGCCTTGTCTAAAGGCATATGGCCAGTAAGTGGGAGAACCAGGATATCAACCCAGGTCTATTTGATTCTAAGCCTGATATTCACTGTGCCAAGTCTAATGCACGGTTCTACTGATTGGAAGAGAAAAGAATCCCACATTAGCCCTATAGTCTCCTTTTCTCCATTCTTTTTCTCTCCTTCTTTTTCTTGTTAATCTCAACATCCTGTCTCTCTGCCCCGCTTCCCTCTATCTCTCCCCATCTACCTTCCTTTCCCCAATTTTTGATTCTTTTTCCCTTTTTTTCTTTCCATTCATCTATGTTCTCTTTATCTAATTCACTGGTGAAGAGTATCCCAATGGTTTTTCATTTGTCCAAACCCCTGCTAGGCAATGAGGATACAAAAATGGATGAGACTCACACCCTGTCCTTGAGGAGTTCTGAGTCTAGCTGGGATGTATAGGAATACCTCGCATTATCTAGGAATTATAGAGCAGGAACAGGGTGTTGCGTGAAATCACATAGGGATTTGCTGGCTGGAAAGCAAGGAAAGCTTCCTACAAAGGACATGTTGGAGCTGAGTCTTGTGGGAGGAATGCGACATTGGCAGAAGGGAAGGAGAGAAGGAACAGCTCTCATGGAGGACTGCAAGCTCTAAGGAAAATCTGCTGAGTGTAGAGACACATGGGACACTGGCAGATGAGTTTCTTTCCTGATTCCCCTGCTTTCTTTCTTCTTCACTACACTCAGTTCTCTCAAAGACCTCCAGAGTCACATTTCAAAGCACAAAGCTGAACATGCCTGTGGCCTCCAAAGGTCCCCTTAGCCTGCAGGTTTAAATCCAAGCTCCTTAGCCTGTTTTTCAAGGCCCTCTACAATTGGCTCCTTCCAGCGTCTCAGGCCTCAGCTATAGTGGATGACTCACCATCTTCCAAACATGCCCTGCCTCTGCCAATGCCATACTCCTGCTCAAGCTGTTCTTCTCCCTGGAATGCCTTGGTTCCCAATTCCCACTGCACATAACTGCCTGTAAAAGGCACCTATCCTAAAAAGCCTGATTCAGATGGTGAAATCTTCTCAGATCATTCCAAGTACAATTAGTTTTTCCTTCCCTCTCACTCTCTTATGTGGCTTCATATTGTCTTTGTCAGAGCATTTAATGAACTCTGTGGGAGCTCTCTGTTTACTGGTTTACTCGCTGTCTTACCTGTTGGACTGTGAGTTCCTTGAGGTCCCCCTAATGAAGATCAGGCTAATCTATGAGACCCAGAGCTCATATCCTGCTTCACAGAGTAGGAATGAAAAAGTATTTGTTAAATGAATGAATGAAATATTATTTGGCTGCTTATCCTCTTTCTCCTTCTTTCCTTCCCTCCTCTCTAGTTTTTCATCATTGTCAGTGGGAAAGTATGGCCTAGAGATTTAGATTTAGAATCTCCCTCATAATATAGAAAAATAAAATAACTTTAGACTAGAAATCAGGAGATCCAGTCTATATCTGTCACCAGCTCACTCAGTGTTTGACCCTTGGTGATTAATTTTACTTTCTAGATCTCTGTTTCTTTATCTTTTCACTGGAATAGGGCATTTTAAGGATTGGCATTTATGATAAAGTAGAATAATGGAAAGACCATTGGCTATGGGGCCAAATAGACCTGGGTTTGAATCTCAGATCTCCACATATAGGAAATAACTTTCACAGTTTCCTCATTTATAAAATGGTAATAGTGATCTCTACTTTGCAGGGCTGTTGTGAGGAATAAATAAACTGGTAGCCATAATTGTAGTTTTTAAAGCACATTTTATAGCTACAAATTATACCTTCTTCTACCTCTGAGGTCCCTCCCAGCAAGGACATTTTTTGGCCACTGGGATCTTCCCAACCTCTTCACTGGCACCCCCTGCTTTCAGTGTTTAATTTAGGCCAGTATCGACGAGAGGCAGTGAGCTACAAGAACTATGAATTCTTTCTTCCAGACAACATGGAGGCCCTGCAAATCAGGAAGTAAGTACTCAATATTTTAGGAACCTGTGCTATCTCGTGGTGAAAGGCCCTTATTCAAATATTGGGGGAGTAGGGCAGAAAAATCTGGACCGGAAAGGGAGGCCCTCTAGACTCTCAAACAGTAGTTGGAACAGCCCATCCATTATCCTGCCCAAAGCCTGTTTCTGGTCACAACCATCCACATATCAAGAACCTTTAATGGTCTTCTACTTCTGACAAGAGAGAGTAGAAACTTCTCAGCTTAGCATTTGAGAGAAGAATCTCAATAGCTTGGCCCACTCTAGTTTCTCCAGTCTTATCAGTTCAAACTCAAGGCCTCTCTACCCTACAAGACTCTGAATACTTACAGAACAGAGCCTAGGCCTCATGCCCTCATTATAGAACCCAGCAGTGAGTAATCATTAAGGACATTTTTGCTAAAAGCATAAATACATTGCCACTGTCATGTTTTTGTGTTACCTATGCCAGGAATGCCTTTTACTTCACAGACCACATGCTCTACCTGGGTTCATAAAACAGTTCAGCTTGAGTTCCATTAGCTCAAGGATTGAAGCCCTTAATATGGCTTCTGTCATTGCTCAGCTTTTCCGGATTGTGCCACTTTATACCTGCCCCTAAGCTGTGTAAGCTGTGCACACAGAGCCACTTTCAACTCTTTGACCCTTCTGTGCTTAGTATGGTGCCTAAAGAATAGGGCACTCTGTGTAGATGTTAGTTGAAGACATGAGTAATGGTACAGAAGATACTGCAGACAAAGAGAGAGATATCCATCCTGGGGGATAAGGGTTGTCTCTTTTTCTTTCCTGGTCTATTTCAGGCAGTGCGCCCTGGCAGCCCTGAAGGATGTTCACAACTATCTCAGCCATGAGGAAGGTCATGTTGCGGTAAAGAAATTTTTACTTTTCCCTTGGGTATCTGCTAGGAAGGGGATTAGCTAATATGTCCTGAACATTTACTGTTGTTCTGAGTACTTTGTATATATTAATAATTTAATTTCATGCTCCCCCCTTGAGATAGGTATTGTCATTATGCCCCATTTCAGAGCCCAGAAGAATGGCTCACAGAGGCATTAAATAATTTCCCCAAATGGTACAACATATACCTGGCAGGGCCAGAAATGGAATCCATGTTGTGTAGCCTCAGAATCCCCACTGTTAACCACTGTGTACTACCAGTCCACCCCCAATAAGTCAGCAGGACTACATTAAGAGTTTAAGACTGCAGTACAAACAGTTTTGAGTTCTAGAGATTTACCTAAATATCTACTCAATTTAAAATCATAGACCTTTGGGTTAGGATTTGCAAATTCTAAAAGGGGAGGAGATTCTCAAATATGCAAATGGTCCAATCTCAGGTGCTGAGGATAGGGAATTGCTTACTGTTGTTGTGGACTTCTAAAGTGATACGGAAGGAAGAAGCTTCAGCTAGGAATTGAGAGAAGCAGCTCTAGGTCTGCTCTGTCAGCACCTCACAGTGACTTTGGTCAAGGCAAGTTCTTCTAGTCCTCAGTTACCTCACCTATAAAATGACCCTAATAAAAACCCACAATTTCCTCTTGCCTTATTACACTCACAAGGTAGCATACATTTCTGGACAGACAGTAAGGGCCCAATGTGTGCTTGTGAAATTGTCATAAGCCAATTCTGACTCCTTCCTATCCTTCAAGACTTTGTTCAAGTTCTACCTCCATATGGAAGCCCTCCACTTAGCACAGGGATGGGCAAAGAGTAGATACTCTACTAGCACTAGATTCAGAGTAAGCCAGTCTCATTACCTGCCTCTAGGTTTTTGATGCCACCAACACTACCAGAGAACGAAGGTCACTGATCCTGCAGTTTGCAAAAGAACATGGTTACAAGGTATGGTAACACTCCAACTCTTATCTAGAGCCTGTTTCTCCAGCACAAACCCCTAAGAAAGGCAAAGTGGGAGACTCAGAGCAGCCAAATCAGCTACCATAAGCTCAGCATTTTAATTTGGTTTTCTAACTTTCCAGGATATAGCCAGAAGCAGCCAATAGAACAAGAAAAGAGGGATGCCACATTAGGCAATGGAAGATGACTGCGGACAGGCTGGCTATGGGGAAAGAGTGGAGAGGGTCACTACAAAAAGCTTATATAAGACCTAAACCCAGTAAAGATATAAAACAATCTGGGGCCATTCCATTTAGAGCCAATATGCCTCATGAAACTCAGAAGCCTCAAAACACCACTGTATGAGAGCATTATATTGTCAGAGATGCCCCTGGAGATGACTTAGAGCTACTGAAAAGGAGTAAAGCTATGTTCAGCTCCTACCAAACATAATTTCCTGCTGGAAATCTCTTTTCTGTTTCTCTTATAGGTCTTTTTCATTGAGTCCATTTGTAATGACCCTGGCGTAATTGCAGAAAACATCAGGGTAAGAAGCACCAGTTACCATTCCACTTTGCTCTGCCTTAGGCTTAGATCATGCCTAAGGCAGAGATGATATTATGCCTAAGGCACCTCTATGGGATTAAAAAAAGGATTCCTCCCTGATCTTCTCCTCCTAGTTTGCATAGGAAGCATTCCCTAAACATCCTGGCTTACAATGACTCTATTAATTTTAATGAAGCCAACATATATAGTGTCCTTTGTATGCTCCAGGTACCAAGCTTGACTGTCATTAATTTTTTACAACCAACCTGCATGTTAGAGGTTATTTCCATGTTAGAGAGAGGAAACTGAGGTTAGAAAGGTCCAAAAGGAGAAATGAATTCTCAAAAATTCATACAGACAGAAAGGGACAGAAGTGGGACTGGACCTCAGGCTTGGCTGCCTGCCTCAAAAGCCTACATTTTGTATTCTGCCCCAAAATTCATACAAGAGCTATCCCTGCTCTTAGATTTTGGGTATGTGGTCTAGAACTAGGTCACTTACCACATTTTGTTGTTCCCTTCATCAAATTACTGGCTCAAGAACAGAAGAGACCTTAAAGGCAATTTTCTGCTACTCTCCATCAGATGCTTGAAATCTTACCTAAATGTGTATCTGGGTTTTTTTATACCTGCAATGATATGGGGCCCATTGCTTTCAACAAATGCTGTCCAGTCAAGCTGGAATCTGCCTCCCTATAGTTTTTATTAATCAGTCATTTTTTAACCTTTTGGGACATACAGCAGATCTAGTTTCTCTCTTCCCTCTTCATCCCTCCATCTATCTATCTATCTACTGATTCAACGGAAATTGAATATATACCTGGGCTTGGCACTAGAGACATAGATATGGAGAGTCCTTCCCTTGAGCACACAGTCTAGTGAGGAAGACTGACAAGTATATATACAGAACCCTGAACTGATGTGATATAAGGGAACAGAGGAAGCTTTGAGAACACAGTGCTGAGGGCCAAACTTTGCATGGGGACAGAAATCAGGGAAGCCTTCCTAATGGAGGCAAAATTAAAATGAATGGCACCTTGAAGAACACATAGGAATTTGGTGGGTGAAGAATGGAAAATAAGGATATAAGCATATACTAAGTATGGCATCTCCAGAGAACTATAAGTAACTTAAATTGGCTAAAACCAAATGTGTGGAGGAATAGGGGAGCCATGGGAGATAAGGATGAAGAAATAATATGGGGCCCAATCATGACAAGCCATGGGCCACCCACTAAAATAATTCACACTTTTTTCTAAAAGGTATGATGAAATGTGGAAGAGTTTTAAGCAGGAGAATACTTTGGCCAGATGTTCATATTAGAAATATCCTTCTGGCTGCCAATATGGTGAATACATTAGAAGTGAAAAGAATATAGACAAAGTAATTGGGCGCAAAGCTATAGTGAGCACAAACAAGAGAGAATGGATATTTAGAGGAAATGATAGAGTAGTGAGGATTTGGTACCTACTAAGAGGTGAGGGATGACAGAAAGATATCTAGGATGACTCCCGGGTTCCATTTAGGATCAGATGACTGGGTGGATAATAGTGCCAGTACCTGAGATGAGGACTGTGGAAGGAGACGGTGGGTATTGGTGGATTAGGAGAGGCCAGTATTCAGAAATCCGAAGACAGCATGTCATAATCTTCTGGTAAACACTTGATACATGTAAGCCATAATGACCCCTGGCCGAGAGCTCTAGTTCCTCTTCTTCAGCCATTTCTCACATCACAATTTCTGGTCCTCTTATAAATGTTCTTCTTTTATAAGCATTGTGTGCTCTGGCACTAAGTATAATGTAACAGGCCTTGTTTGACCACACAGAGATTAGGAATGAGGAGTCACAATCCAGCTTCTTTTCAGTTGGTTGATTTTTGTAAACTTGGGCAAGATGCGTTCTCCAGGTCTTAAAATTTCCTCATCTTTATAATGAGGGATCTTGTACTCAATGGTCTCTAAGGGACCTTCCAAAGAAAACCATCAGAGACTCTGTCTCCCAGTGTCTCCCTTGATACCTCTATTCTCCCTGCTCCCAGCAAGTGAAACTTGGCAGCCCTGATTATGTAGACTGTGACCGGGAAAAGGTTCTGGAAGACTTTCTAAAGAGAATTGAGTGCTATGAGGTCAACTACCAACCCTTGGATGAGGAACTGGACAGGTAAGAGCCAGCACCCCAAAGTCAAAGTCTAGATCTTTAGCCCAGTTTTGATATCCTTTAGGATCTGGGGGAAGTATCCTCCCTTTCTGGGCCTCAGCTTCTCTGTCTGTAACATCAGGAAACTGAACTTGATGATCCCTTTCTTCAAGGATCCTTTCAGCTCTGATTCCTTGATTTGTAAGGTGTTCCTAAGATGATGAAAATAGTGCTTTCCTGAGCAATATGAACAGTTCAGGACCCTGGGAAAAATGCCCCCCTTCTGTGGGTGTTGTGATTATTACTACAAAAGTGTTCTTCACACCTGAGTGACACTTCAGTTTCCAAACATGTTTACATTCTTTCTTACATTTAATCCCCTAGAACTCCTGTAAAGAGGCTGAGATAGGTCTTATGATCATAAAATGTCAAGAAAAAGAAATTGAGTCTGAGCTGAAATTACTTTCCCAAGCTTCTACCACAGGTCAGAAGTAGAGCTAGGATTCTAATTACATGTTCTGTCTCCTAGTCATGTCTCTTTTCACAATGTTCCCATGTCTCATCAGTCAACAAGTATTTGGACCCTTTGGGGTGTGGTATATGTAGGGGGCATAAATACGTGCAAAAGAGGTGAGTTCTATCCTCGAGTAGCTTCTATAGTGCTTTGACATATGAGAAGACCTATAAAAAAGCAGGAAATGCTCTGTCATAATACCAACTAAAGATAGGAGAGAGCCGATATGAGTTTTAGATATAGAATGTTCCCGGAACCCTACACTCTTTGAAACGGTGTTGTGATGAGAAGAGACCCCAAGTGAGAAGTATAAAGAGGCTTCAAATGGTCATCACCACTCTAAGAAATTTAAAGAGTGGCCTTACTCAAATGAAGTACCAAGAGATGAACACTGTTATTGCCCCACTCTTTAGATGGAGAAACTGAGATCCAGATCAGGTCAAAGGCTTACCTTGGGCTACACAATGAATGAGTCAGTAGCACAATATATACTCGAACCCATATCCCAGTTGGGCAGATCGTTCATTGTACAGGCACTCTAGTCAAGGGTACACTCACTTCTCTCACCAAGACGTGTGCTGAAGTAGGGCTGTGTGACCCTGAGGAAAGTATGACTTTTTTAAATTATAAAAAAGGCACAACATGGGCTAACAGCATATGGTGAAAGGAGCCTGAAGGCGGGGGTGGGAGGTATAAGTGAAAGAAAGGCATTGGCAAAGCCCCAGCCCTGGGCCTAGACTCCTACAGGTGCTAGGATGCTGTTCGATGAATCAGTTTGGGCCAGAAGAAGACAGATCTACAGGTTCAGCTTTATGTCATCATTTTTTTATCAGGAGATATTCACAGTCCATGTCTCAGGGCCCAGCCCGGAACATGGAATCAAAAGAGGAAAGGGCTGTCCCTGCTTTGACAGAATGAGAGAGAACTAACTTCTCCAGTTAGTTGGAGAAGACAGTGAGTACACGGTTGGTCACAACTCTGGTGACGGTAAACCAAGTGGACTGTGGGAACATGGAACCGAGTCTAGCTTGGAGGAAGAAGGTCTAGAAGAGCTGGATTACCCAATAGGCAGACTACACATAAGCTACCAGAAAGATAGGGGCTACCGAATCTTAAAAACTTTTATTTATTTATTTATTGAAACAGAGTACTACTCTATCACCCAGGCTGGGATGCAGTCACGCAATCTTGGCTCACTGCAACCTCTGCCTCCCGGGTTCAATCAATCAATTCTCCTGTCTCAGCCTCCTGAGTAGCTGGGACTACAAATGCCCGCCACCACACCTGACTAATTTTTGTATTTTTAGTAAAGACAGGGTGTCACCGTGTTGGCCAGGCGGGTCTCGAACTCCTGACCTCAAATGAACTGCCTGCCTTGACCTCCCAAAGTGCTGGGATTACAGGCATGAGCCACCGCACCCAACTGACTTAAAAGGTTTAAATATTGGATATTTCAAAAACAGCATCGAGGTAGTCAAAGTGGAAAAATATAAAACAAGAACTTGGGAGGACCTCCCCATATTCTATAGTTTATAATTTTCATTTTAAATAAAAATTTAAAAAATTAATTTTTTAAATTTTTTTAAAAATTTTTAAAAATTATTTTAAAATTTTTAAATAAAATTAAAAATTCGGAGGGGGATAGGCATTAGCTACTCTACTGTTTTGCTGTTGAACACCTCTAAATGACTTCACATGATCCTGGTTTCAGAAAAGGCTTCCTAAAGAGAGTGAATGTGCTGGCTCTTGAGGTATGACTGCATAGCAGCTCAACTTTGGAAATCAGGCAAAGAGAATAGCACTTTGTAAGTGCCTAGTTAAATCTGAACAAGAGTAGAGAAATACAGAAAATATTCCAAGTGTAATAGCAACAGTATGAAAACAAGAATGAAACAGAGAAGATATGGGTATGGGCATGGGACCATAATGTAAGGCCACCTGGGGCCAGTGTGAGAAGGCAAAACTAGAAGATCAGATTAAGCTGAAGAATTCGGCAGGTCTTAGAGCCTCAAAGGACCCAGTAGTCAGGCAACAAGTTTGCATCAGATATTTTCTACCCCTAGGCTCTGGTCCTAGAAGAAATGATTAGAGAGGGGAGCATTCTGGGGTTCTTCTTCCCGAGAAGGTTTGTGCCTCAGTTTCTTCACCTATGAAACAGATGATAATCTCTGCTCTGTAGTACTATTATGAAGATTCATGCACTTAAAAGTTCCCACTCCCTACCAGATGCTCAGAAAATGTTCAACAAATACAAGTGCTCTGTGGAAGCCATTGGGCACAGTTGGGCATGGAGTGTGGTGCAGCCATAAAGGGCTTCTGTAGGAAGATCTCAGGAGAGGCTTTCTAAAACCAAACCTATCAGCACCCTTACCTGCCTCGGGTTCATGCAGCTCTTTCCATTCACTTGGTTTTGTTACCATGCAACCAGGGTTGCTGGTGTCACCCCATTGCCCCAGCCTTCCACTCCTTTTCCCAGGGATCTCTCTGAACTCAGTACAAGCCAACAGCTAAAGAATTTAATGCTTGGTACAGCATAGACCTCAGAAGTCTTACTCCATGTTTCTAGTCTTCTGATTATTCAGTGTTTACACTCTACCCTCCAGCTTCTACACAGAATAGTGGTTGAAGAGTTTGATTATCACTCAGTGTACAGGTATGAGTTCATGACAGAGCAGGGAATTGAGGAGACAGTAAGGAACTTGGGGCAAGGACCACAAGTTCCCCAATGACGTTGTGGACCACCTCTGTATCCCCATGCCCCACTACTTGGCACACCTTAGAGGGAGTGACTGTTTATGTAATGAATGTTGAGCACTGATCATGTGTTTCCAAGTATATGCTCCTGACTGGCCAAAGAGCTCCCAAAGCACAGACACTGGGTCTCCAGGCCAAGCACAGTGCCTAGGACAGAGGAGTATGTTTGCAGTTTGTTTGTTGACTGCATAGAAAAGAGGAAAATAACCCAGGCCAACCCCCTTTCTGAGTGAGGAGAGAGACATACACATTCACAGACACAGACACATATACACACAGACGCAATCTGGTAGTCATGTGTAGAGTATAAAGGACGATATGTAGCAGAGGCTAAAAACAAAAGGGGTGAAGAGCTCAACTCAAGATCAGAAAGGGTAGGGGAGTGAACAAGTCAGGAGCTGCCAGTAAGATATTGGAGCTAGCCAGGAATGCAAAGGATTGCTGCTTCTCTCTATGTCAGGGGTGTGAACCACAGAACAAAGAATCCAGCTGCCTGTAATAGGATGAGTGAGGGTGAAAAGACAGTTTGGCTCAAACTGAGGCTGAAGAAAGGAGACATGGGAGATGGTAGCATGCAATGAGCTCCTTTGGTTGGCCAGTAACCAAGTCTCTAGAACAGGTACTTGGAACAGAGCAAGGCATGGCATCACAATAGGTGACAGCTGGGTTGTGGAAGAGGCTTGAAAGGGTATGTGGTTCGGGCTTTCTCTTGGGGTCAACTCTACCACCATTGGCCCCTGAGCTGCCCTTGCTCCTGCTTGGGTCTGGCCCAGCCACCTGTCATACATCAAGATCTTCGACGTGGGCACACGCTACATGGTGAACCGAGTGCAGGATCACATCCAGAGCCGCACCGTCTACTACCTCATGAACATCCACGTCACACCTCGTTCCATCTACCTATGCCGGCATGGTGAGAGTGAACTCAACCTCAGAGGCCGCATCGGAGGTGACTCTGGCCTCTCAGTTCGCGGCAAGCAGGTAGGGAGGGCCTCACACCCAGATGGGTTGGTTGGGCTGTCCTAGGTGGGCTGGAGGTGTAGTGGTGGCCACATTCTGGGTCCTAAGGTGGGAGGACCCAGGAATGGGGTAGAAGCAGATTCCATCACTCCTGCTTTTCCACTCCTCAGCCACTCAGTCTTGACCCAGCTGCCGAATGGCTCCCAATGCCACCTGTTCTGCAGGTCTAAGAGGTTGGCCCTGGCAACCAAACCCTTCCCAAAACCAGCCGCTCCATGACAGGGACTCCCTTGGCCCTGTCTGACTGGTCCCCTCATCTTTCTCATGACTCTGTGCCTTTGCCGGTATAGCTCCGCCACCTAGTCTACCCTCTTCTGTCTCCTCTGTCAGCAGGTGACTGTCAGTAGCACAGAGAGCTGCCCTGAGGGACCCACCCTTGAATCACTCTTCTCCCCAACTCTGCACTCCCCACCTCACCCCAACACAGGTGTCACACTGGCAGCCCCTGTCCCCACCTATAACTGTGTCCTTCTTGCCCTCCCCACTCCCAAGGCCCAGCACCGGCTCCATGGTGTGGTCCAGGAAGCCCTCCCCATCCTCTCCTCCCTCCCAGGCAGGTTGCCACGCCCTGGGCTCCCGCTCTCCCAGTTCTGGCCCTTGTGTGGCTCTACTGGCCTGAGTCTCTTCTCCCCAGCCCAGGACAGTGACCTGCACGTTCTGGGTGCTGGCTGAATAAAGAGATCCATTTCCACAGCATCTGGCCCTGCACTTGTTAGCACAGGTATTATTCCTGCTGGCAGGACCACTTAGGGGTGGAACAAGTGGGAAATGAAGTTTAGGAAGGACAGTTGTTGTCACGGTTGTCATTTATTGGACACCTATGAACAGTCATGGTGCCATCTGCTTCCACCTGTGTGGCTCAGTTCATCTTCACCACAGCTCCATGGGGTGAGCATTCCTGCCACCGGTTTATGGATGAGGAAGCAGAGAGCGGCCCCAGGGCAGGCGGCCAGGATGAGACAGAGCCAGAACTGAAAGCCGGGTCTACCTGCCTGTCCTCAGCTCCCCCACTGGAGAGGTGGAGGTCCCAAGGCAAGGTGCTGCCGCTGCCACGATGGCCGTGTCCTGGTGGCTCCTTTTCTGTTACCTCCAGACTGGCAGCCTCCCCTGGAGGTAGACTCTAACTTGTGACTCCCCCATGTCCCACTCCTCAGAGCAGAGTCAGAGGCCGCTGGAGGCGTGACTCCGGCCCATGGCAGGCCCTGCAGCAGGCGTGTCTTGGTTGGAGCCAGCCCGGCCCTGCCCACCAACTCAGAGCCCAGAGGGACACGTGGCCGCCTCCACAGGACATGCCTCCTGGGACACAAACCTGTGTGTGCGCATGCACACAGCCAGCACCACCATCACACTCATCACAGAGCACCAGGCCCAGTTTACAAAGCACGTCCCCGTCGAGGTAGCTCTCACTTGCACAGCGCCCACTGCACACCAGGCACTCCCCAGCCACTTTCTAAAGTGCGGCCCCCAGAGAACAGGCTGGGTGAGCCAGTGCTCTATGGGTATGAGGCCAGTGATGGACAGGGACGTGTCTGAGGGCACAAGGGACCATGTAAGGGAGCTGGGGGAGTTTAACCTGCGGCTCCTACCTCCCAGTCAAGGGCTCCTTCCACCAGAGCACGCTGACTGCTGAGTCATGGCCGTAATGAAACGTATTATGAAATGCCTATTTCCGCATATACAAATGTGTGCCTGGACCTATGCACCTGTGCACATGTTCCTAACACATGCCATCAGTGGGATTAGCAACACACGTTTACACAGAGGAGCGAATCGCTAGCTCCCTTCATGGTGCCCCTCGGTGCTGCCAGTGTTTCCCTCACTGGACTGGCCCTGTCTTGAGAGCAATAACACCCCAACACCCAGCACAGGGACAGGACCACTCAATACATGTGTGAATGCCCTTAGAACCTGGGTATCAGGAACCCTGCTTAAGCAATAAATGTTCACAGAGTCAAAGAGAAATGTCTGCCAAATCCCACACCTCCTACTTCCAGTCCATATTCTGGGTACCCCCAACCCTAGAATTCTTTGCCCTTATTGTCTAGAGTCTACTTTCAGTTCCTACATGGGCCTATCTCAGCGTCTGTCCACCTGAGGTCAGGTCATATCACCAGACCAAGGGAATGCTATTTGTGGAGGATGGGGATCAGTGAGGTGAAAATGTGGACAAAACTTGGTCATGTGACTTGGTTATCCACAAGCATGTACTAAAGGCACATAGAAGTGCAGGATAGAGCCATAAATGGAGAGAGAGACTGTGCATGGAGTGCCTCCATTGGTCCTCTTGTCTCAGGCTCCACAAATTTTAGAGGTGGGTCTGCTTGAATGAATGAATAACCAAGTAGGGGCTTTGGTGAGCAATCATCAATGAACACACATACACACACACACACTCATGATCTTTTCTATTCCCTTGGCCCACCATCACATGGGAAAGAGTATGGCTTTTTACAAATTTGGAACATTTAAACTCTTTGCTCTTGCTTGTTCATCACCACTCAATTTGTGGCAGAGCTAAGCGTGTTCTCATGGCCACCATGTTCTCTCTCACCTCTCCTTTTCCCCTTCTCTCCTCCTCTGCATCCCCACACCCTAGTATGCCTATGCCCTGGCCAACTTCATTCAGTCTCAGGGCATCAGCTCCCTGAAGGTGTGGACCAGTCACATGAAGAGGACCATCCAGACAGCTGAGGCCCTGGGTGTCCCCTATGAGCAGTGGAAGGCCCTGAATGAGATTGATGCGGTGAGATGCATGGGGTGAAGCTCCTGTGTGGGGGGAGTGGCTTGAGACTGGGATTATCCCCTGAGTTGCCTCTGCTCCAGCCTCTATGGGGGTCCTAATTAATTCAACAAACATTTTTGACAACTAGCCATGTGCCAGATCTTATTCTGTCTTGGGGATCCAGTGAAGGCCAGAATAGACAAAGTCTCTGCCCTCATCCTAAAGACAGACAGTAAATAGGACATTACATCTCAGTGCAACAAAAGACTATGAGAGGAGAAGTACAAGGGATTATGGAGGATCAGAAGGTGAGGGTGCTCCTGACTTGACTTGGTGGTGGGGGATTTACAAGGAAAGCTTCCTGCAGGAAGCTAGAGGTGATATAAGAAGGAGGCAAGATGGTCTGGGGAGTGGGGAAATAAATTTAATTCGGGGACAGAAAACAGTTCATATGTGAAGACCCAGAGATGAGAAGAGAGCCTGGCAAGTTCAGGGAACTGAAGGAAAGAATAGCACAGAGGCTGGGACAGCAATAGTGAGATCTGGAGAAAAGGGAAATGAGGCTGGAAAGGAATTCAGGCCACCAGGCTTTATAGTTTATGTTGAAGGATTCAAACGCTGCCCTAACAACAATGGGAAGCCATTGATGGGGTCCACATCAAGGAGGAGTAGTCTGAATGTGATGCACATTTTTTAAAGAAAGCCCCCTCTGGGCATGTGTGGAAACTTGGTGGGAAGAAGGCCAGTATGAACATGTAAACCAGTAAGAAGTTGACTGCATTAGTCTGGCAAGATGTGGGGGCATGCTGGACCAGAGTAGTGGCATTGGAGATGGAATGAAGAAGGACTTTGGGAATGTTTCAAAGGTGGAATCAGACCAGGTGCAGTGGCTCATGCCTGTAATCCCAGCACTTTGGGAGGCCTAGGTGGGAGGATCACTTGAGCCCAGGAGTTGGAGACTAACCTGAGCAACATAGTGAAATCCCATCTCTACAAGCAATTTAAAAATTAGCTGGGTGTGGTGGTCTATGCCTGTAACCCCAGCCACTCAGAAGGCTGAAATGGGAGGATCGTTTGAGCCTGGGAGGCTGAGGCTTCAGTGAGCCGTGATCATGCCACTGCACTTCAGCTTGAGCGACAAGCAAGACCCTGTCTCCAAAAAACACATTAAGGTGGAAACAACAGGACTTGATGATGCACTGGCTGTAAGGGATGAGGAAGAGGGAGAAGTGAAGGACCCGACCCTGGTGGTATGGCACTTTCTCTTCAGGGTTAGGTTCTTCCATGAGCTCGTTGAGAAAGGAGCTGTTTTCTCTCCATTGTTTACCTGCGCTGTAGGTACAGTAGCACCAGATAGCAGTGCACAGGTTAAGATTGTTAGGCATCAACATAAAAGCTTTACCACAGGTGTAAATAACTTGGGTGTGGGTAGGTTAACTTGTTTGCCTGCTAGATATGCCTCCTTAGAAACAGACATGTATGTGTGTGTGTACATTCATACATACGAGTATATAAATACAGAGGTACAGAGATACACATGGTTAGAAAAGGGCTATACAGCATTGTTCTGTATACCACATACATTTGCTATAAAATATATGTAAGCAAATGTGAAATTTCTTTATCATAAGTTTGGTGGCTGCTTATTTCTATCCCACGTGTGGCATAAACATTTACTGAACCCCTCCTTGTTTCAGGTTCTGGAGTGGTGCTGGAGGTAGAGATTGATCTGATTCATGCCTGTCTTCACTGAATGTTCAGGCTAAATAGGGTGGACAGAGGAATAAACAGAGAAAGAGAGAACAGCATGTGTGATACAGACTCTGATAGGCAAGACTATGGGTGCATGGAAGTTGGAGCAGGACACCTAACTCAGCCATGATCTACCTGGAAGAAGTGATACCTAGCTGAAGCCCCAGGTTTGAGTAACAGTGAACCAAGTAGAAAGGATCAAGAATGACAATCCAGGTAGAGAGACAGGGATCGGAAACTTCATAAACAAAGAGGGTATTTTATGTGTGTGGAAATGCTAAGGTTGTAGTGGTACAAATGGAGAGGGAGGAAAAAAGAAATCAATTTGAGAGAGATTTAGGAGGTAAAATCTCAGGAATTGGCTACGAGGGGTGAATGAGGAAGAAGCAAGAATTTAGAATGATGATAAAGCAGAAATTTAAGTTTCTGGTTTATTTTCCATGATTGCTACTAATATTAATACTTGAGTCTATTGATTGAGTCTTTAAAATGTCCCTTGCACATTCTGTACTAATATCTTTTACTTACATTTTTCCAATATTCAAAACACGTCTATGAAGTAGTTCTAATTCTCTACATTTTGCAGATAAGGAAAGTAAAATTCAGAGACATTAAGCAATTTGATTCAATAAGAAGTCAATGACCATTTTCACAGGCAGCAGTCTTCCAAGTACTCCTCAGAATAGAAAGTTGAAGCCAATCTGGAAGGACATTGAGTACCCAGTAGGGTACTCTTTCTTCCATGGGCAGTATGGGTTGGAGAAGTTTCACACTGCAGAGATGTTTGTGGGTTGAGGTAGGGGTTCACTTCCTCACCCCTGAGGGGGGCATGGTAGATGGGCCCAATAGACAACAACCAGAGACCACTGGCCCCCTACAGTGAGATTTAATTGGAATCCACATACCCAGAAGGAAACCTTAGAAACCCAACATCATTTTCCATCACCATCAGCAGTCACCTCACCTCTGGGAGTTTCTCCGTAGACTTGGAATCTGTCATAAGCTCCTGAGGAACTCATTCTCTGAGCACTCAATTCGTTTTTTGAGTGAAAAGAGTGTATCTCCCCCAAATCCACTCTGAAACCATGAAGAATTTACTAATTTTTCCTCTCTGAAATGTCTGTTGTTACCTATTTCTTTATCTGCCAGAGTTCCCAAAGTAGAGGTCTTCAGACACAGGCACACAGATACTCTCACATATACACAATGAGGGACATATACATTAACAGACACACACGCTACAGACACACTAAGACCTGCATGGAAAGACCACATGGACACATTCTTAGATGCTCAGACACCCTGTACACACACACACACACTCAAGCACACACCATATGCTGAGACAAATACACAAACACAAGGCATAAGGCCTTAAACATATCACAAGTACATATCATAGGCATGCTGTACACAGACTTGTAAACACAGCCACAAATCCTTATGCCCATAAGTTTATAAAAACACATACTTATATGTATAATGTACACTACAGACCTATCTGTACAATCATAGAAAAACATCATACACTCAGCCTGAAAACATCTGTCCACATACACTCAGTGTCACATCCACACAGCCACACACCTCATGCGTGCGTGTGCACGCACACACACACACACATGTATATATACACATATATATATACTTTTAGACAACAGGCACAAAACCAGAGCTGTGTTCTCAGAGACCCAGGTGCTCATGTGCTACTGTTCCACAATCATTGAAAAATTATGGCAAAGGCTCTGTGGAATTTCATCTTGTGAACACTGTTGCCCCCAAATACTTTTTCTCAGGGTGTCTGTGAGGAGATGACCTATGAAGAAATCCAGGAACATTACCCTGAAGAATTTGCACTGAGAGACCAAGATAAATATCGCTACCGTTATCCCAAGGGAGAGGTAAGGTTTGGAGCAGTAGCCTAATGCCTAGGACTCCTCTCCATTGTCTTCATTGAAACTACCAGGATTCTTCAGTTGTCTGGGCAGCTTTAGAAACAGAGTAAGCATATCTTGCAGCAGCTACCATCCCACATGGCACATGATTATCTGGCCCTTGGCTGTCTTAGATTCTTTGCTATAAGCAACAGATCCATCCCTTTCTTTTAAAGGCTACGTAATTTTCTTGCTTCTTCGCTTTCTGCTTCAGGAGTGCTCACTTTATCCTGGACCTTGTCTCTGGTATCCCTTCATGAAGACACTTTAAATAGTTCAACATGCTCTGATTTCCTGATATTTTATTGCCAAGTTGCCTAAAGCTCCAGCCTCTCTGGCTAGTTGACATTGTCCCAAGGGACAATAATTTAATCAACTTCTTTGCCACCACATGAACCAGACCATCAGTTCCCCATCCCCATATGAGATGAATGTTCATTGCTTTCAATCAAGCCTCCACTTAGCCAGTTCCACATTTTAGAGCATTTATTAGTTATACTTTATTTCTGATATAAATTCCTGGGAAAAGTTATCAGAAAAGAAGGACATCTGGGAAGATAAAACAATAGATAGTCTATTCAATTACACAACACTTTCACAGTTTTTATCCTCATCCTCAGAGATGACATTATAAAATTCATCTTAATTTGCCCTCATTTTCCTTTAGGTACTTAGAGGCTATGTTATTCGAGGTATACAAACTTAAAGCAATTATATCTTCTCAGTGAATTGCACATTTTATTATTACATAGTGACCAAACCTCCTTCCCCCATAATCCTTTTTGCCTAAAAATGTATTTTATCTGATATTAATATAGCTGTACAAGAATCAGTGACTTCTGGTAACTGCTTACCTAGTTTACTTTTAGCTGTTCATTTACTTTCAACTTCTCTGTGTATCTTTGTTTTGTGTCTCTTATAAACAACTTATAGATGGGTTTTGTTGTTTTTAATCTCAACTGAAAATAGGTGTCTTTTGAATGGTAAGTTTGGTGTATTTAATTTTCTTGTAATTACTAACTTTTTTAGTTAATTACTATTATCTTGTCTTGAGCTCTCTGCTTAATTTACTCTCTTTTCCTGCCTTCTTTAGAATTCATAAAGTTTTTATATCCATGTTTAAGTTATATAATTTGTTTCCATTCATTTAGAGATTACCCTTAGCATTTTAAAAATTTTTCATTGTGATTCTTTCAATTTTTAGTGGATATCTCAGTAAGAATATAAGGCCAAATGTTGAATTTTTAAATCACTCATATTTTCTGAGTGCTATTATGCAACCAACTTGAATCCTTAACATTTTAATATTCATTATTAACAAAATCTAAAATCAGTATCTCCACTCTACCTAAACAACAGAGGAACCTTAAAACTCTGGCCACTATATCTCCTAATTTACATGTTAATTGTTTGTATTTTAGGTCAAACTTGGTCTTAACCCCCAAGTTGTTGTTATTATTGTATGCAGTTAGTGTTTATTTAGATTTAACCACATGCTTACCAATTCCTCTGATCATTCTTGCCCCTTGCACCTCAAATCTTCCCTCTGAGTTCACTTTCCATCTTTCTTCAGAAGCTTTTTTCAGTGAGAATTTGTTGCTAGTAAACACACCCTTCTTTTTGTCTAAAAATTTCTTGGTAGGAGGGGTCCTTAATCCTAGTGATGCTTGGCTGAGTGAAAACTCTAGAATGACAGTTGTTTTCTCTCAGCACTTTGAAGGTATTACCCTCACTGTCTTCTGGCTTTTGCTGTGGCTAGAAAATCTGCTGTCAGTCCAGTTTTCTTTTCTCTCGGGCTACTTTTAAGTTTTTTGTATCATTGTTGCTTTAAAGTTTCTCTCTAATATATCTATATGTTAATTGCTTTTCATTTATTAATATATTGCTTAGGATTAATGGGACTTCCTGAATCTAAAGATTGTGATTCTTCAACAGGGCTGGAAAACTCTCAGACATTTTATCTTTAAAAATTCATCTCTCACATTTTCTCTATCATCTTCCTCTGGAAACACAATTGGATGTATGTTACTCCTGCCTCTATTCTTCATGTCTCCTAACTTTTCCTTCCTATTTTCTATTTCTTTGTATCTTTTGCTGCATTCTGAGTAATTTCTTCAGCCTTATATTCCAATCACTATTTCATAAGTAATATTTAAGCTCCTTACCCCATCCACTGAGTTTTCAATTTTAATGACTCTATGTTTTATTTTTGAAATTCTATTAATTTTCAATTCTATATCCTATTATTGATCGCATCTTATTTCTTCCTTATTTTTTTTATTCCACCTATTATTTCTTTAAAAGTTTCAAGCATATTTATTTTATATTGTGGCATCCCTTAAGTTTTTAGGGTTCTCTTCTTGTTTCTGCTTATTTTCACTCATGGTAGCTTATTTCCTTGTGTGTTATATGAGCTCCAACTTGGCAAGAATTTATCTGTGGGAATCTCACACAGCCTGAGTTGAGAGAATCCAGAGAGATTTCCATTTGCTGCTTCTAAGCAGTCCTGGGAGCTCATAACTTGGGACCACTTTTTATTAAACTCTCAGCAAAACGTTCTTCAAACCACATGGGTAGTGTAGTTCTGAATCACCAACCCACCTGAAGGAAGTCTGGTGGTTATAAATTCCTACAGGAGGCTTTTCACTTATTTCCCCTGAGAGCCAAGGAGAGACAGATATATTTTCTTGTTTCTTTTTGCTGGTTAAGCAACTTTTACTAAGAGTGTAAAGATTTGCCTTTTGAGGGTCTCAGATTTATGTGAGAGTCTCAGTCTCAACTCCCCACCTTGTACACACTGGAGGTCTTGTCTTCTACTTCTGTAATGTTTTTAAAACTCAGAACTCTTAGTTACTATGATTGGCAAATGCCTCCAGGGCAACTGTGGTTTCTACATCCACTTATCACTTTTTTTCAGTTTTTCTTCATTTTGGGGCCCTATATTTATAAAATTTCCCTTATTTTTTTGAAAGGTCGGTAGTGCACTTAAGAAGACAATTTGCAGGGGGGAGTTTTATTGTTGTTATTGTTATTTAGTCCACTGTATTGATACACTTATTTAGTCCACTATATTAATAGGCCCCATTTAGCAGATGATGAAACTAAGACCCGAAGAAGGAAGTGAGTTGCCTGAGGTCATACTGCTGGGTCAACAATTGAACTGGCACTGGAACCAAATGTTCTTGATTCCTAGTTTAGAGTTCTTCCCCTCTGGGCAAATGTGCCTCATCTCCCTTTCTCACTCAAGTATCTCTCTTATGTTTAGTCCTATGAGGATCTGGTTCAGCGTCTGGAGCCAGTTATAATGGAGCTAGAACGACAGGAGAATGTACTGGTAATCTGCCACCAGGCTGTCATGCGGTGCCTCCTGGCCTATTTCCTGGATAAGAGTTCAGGTACCACCTTCCTCTCTGTTTTGGGGAAGTTTGATGGGATTTGAGACACTGACACCAGCAATTAGATATCTATATCTTAGTAGTTAAGAGTATCTAAAACAAGGATGCCTAGGTTCAGATTCTTTCTCTTTCTCATACTAGCTGTACTACCGTTCACAAATTACTTTAACCTCTCTGGCCTCGATGTCCTCATCTGTAAAATGGGGAGAATAATGATGAATTTTAAATAACATAGGTAAAAAGTTTAGAACTGTTCATGACACATTCTATGGGCTATGTGCTAGCTGCTATTATTAGTATAGTATTATTCTTAGCTAACATTTTCAAAGCCAACATTAACAATCTGCCTCAATCTGGAAAAGGTGAGCTAGTATTTCTCTGAAACATGCCACCATCAGGTGATAGTGGGGCCTTTCACAGCTTCATGATCCTGATTACAAGTTTCTGTCCTTGCTATAGGGGTAATTTCCCCCAAGATAGTGATGCTTTTCATTTTAAATTGTTTTTCAAATGATAATTTATTTTTTAAAAAAAATATCTAGGCATTGCATTTACAGAGTATTTACACACTGACTACATAGGCTGAACTGCAAACTGGGGCAGCTGGCCTGGCAAAAAACTGTTATATCACTCCAAATGTTAGCATTTCCAGGATACTTTTAAAGTGTCTCAGAACAATGCAAAATTATATTCAATGTCTACAGTGTTTTGCAGTCTAGGATCTTTTCTTTGATGCTAGTTTGAAAATAAAGAACACTGTAATATGGAGTCATCCAGAATTGGAACCTGGGTACTTGAGAGCTTAACATTAAATAAGGAATTTCCTCTCTCTGATCTTCAATTTCTTCACTGGAAATTGGTGATAGGATGTGTGGTGGGGGTCCTTGCACTTCTAGATTTCTCTATGTTCACATCTCTACTTTTCAGAGCAATGTTTTGAGACTATGAGGGAGGTGCTGGAACTCCCATTGCCCAGATGAGGTAATGGAGACCCGGAGAGGTGAAGTGACTGGCCCAAGGTCATGGGGCTAAGAGTGTCAGGGATAGACATTGATCCCAGGTACATGCCAGAGGACTTCCCCTCTCAGATATGCGTGGAGTGCTTTTTACACACAGGCCTCCTGTCTTGGGAGCCAGACAGGGCAGCACTGGACAGATATTCTTACCCCCTCCACCCCATTACTCAGGTGAATGCTGGAACAAGGCCCAGAGAGATGATGTGACTGAGAATGCAGACCCACAGAACCTCAGGGCTGGGGCACCCTCAGAGTACATCTAGTTCAATACTGCCCTGTGAGATGAAACACAGGACCAAAGAGAGAAGAGGCTGGGCCAAGGTCACTAGTGGAGGCAGTGGCAGAGCTGGGTCAGAGATCTCCGGCAAGTGGCTTCCCTTCTCTGAGTCTGTTTCCTCAAGTATATAAGGAGGATGTACAGTATAGCTCAGATTGTCTTTGAAGGTGTCATGAGGCAGTGGGCACTACGCACTACGCCCTTAGCCCAGGGCCTGATGAGGACAAAAACAAGGAGGAGCAGCAGGATGGATGCCCAGGAAGGAAAGCACCCAACCCGATGTCTCGGGAGGCTGGAAGGGAGGGGGTAGGCCTTGGAAACCTAGCATGGAACCTGGCATTCGGGAAGCCATGAGGGGTGGCGATCACGCAAAATGAAGGGAGATGGGGAGCGGTATGTGCAAGTGGGCGGGAGGGTGGGTGTCAGGAGAGAGTGTCCAGCAGGTGGCTGTATCACCCCCAGGACACTGGGAGTCCCTGGATGGCAGGGGTGGCCACCAGCAGGGCCCAGTGCACGCACCCTGGCCTCAGGAGGCCCTGGGTTCAAGTCCCTGCTCTGCCACTTCCTGGCTATGTAACTTGTGGAGAGCGTCTTCCCTCTCAGAGCCTCAGTTAGCCAAAACCATGAAATGGGCTTACCTCCCCGCTTCATTCGGGCTTGCCCGAGAAATGGAAACATAGGCCCTGATAAGAAATTGTACACGGATAATCAGAACAACTTTATGTATAATGTCAATAACTGGAAACGTGAATTCACGAATACTCGTCCATCACCAGGTCTGGGGCGGGGGTGATCAGAGAGAGCAGGCCAGGCTGGGGGAAGGCTGTGGGAGCTGTCCAGTGCCACAGCAGGGTCTCAGAAAACACTTGTTGGCGTGGACCATGGGGCTTTGTGGTGTGGGGTCTGCAGAAGGCCTCAGGCTGGGGGCGGAAGAGAAACCTGCCTCGGTCTCCTGTTTGCCATGTGAGTGAGGTGGTGGTCATCTCCAGGGTGGAGAGTCTGACCTTCCTGTGGGACATGCAGTCCAGTCCACTACCGTTTTCTAGGGTGCTCCTTCCTCCCTGCTCTCTTCCCAGCTGCTCTCAGTGCTGCCTCTGCAGGGTGAGGGGGAGTAGGCCCCTGGTGAGGCCCCACCACAGCGAGGGGACATGGAAGCGGGAGCATACAGCAAGCCTGGAGGCCTGGAGAGGCCATGTCCTGGCCAGCACCCTGCCTCTGAGGGCTGCTTCCTGTTCCTTTCTAGATGAGCTTCCGTATCTCAAGTGCCCTTTGCACACAGTGCTCAAACTCACTCCTGTGGCTTATGGTAAGTACTCCCACCTTGATCCAAGGACAGGCATATGGAGGCTATGAGCATGGCCCTAGTGCCTACCATTTGCCCCGAAGAGTCCTGCAGCAGGTTCCTTGGGTAGGTGGGTGGATGTCCTGGTGCGGATGGGACTGATGGTAGTAAGATAACATAGAGTAGGATGACTTCTAAATCTGGGGCTGGCTCCGACTTTCTGTGTCTCTGCCAGAGCACCCAGCACAGAGCACCAAGCTGCAGAAGGGGGCTTCCCCAAAGGGGACCAGAGGAAAATTGTAGGTTAGGACTGTATTGGAGAAAGAACACAAAGACCAGCCTGGACAGTTCATGCCCTTTCTTGCGGCATTAGCTATGAAAGGTCCATGAACAGGGAAGGGACAGAATTAAACCTATTCTGGGGTGTGAACAGGGCAGATGACCTATGGAAGCCTGGAGTAAGGTGCAGCCCACAGGGATGAAGCTTTGGGAGCTTCCGTAGGCATTAGGCCTCCCCTGTCAGCCCCAAACCCCAAAGATGTACCCTCCTCCATCTTCAGGTTCCCTAGAACTGCCTTGTGACCTTCCACACTCCTGGTGTTGCCACAACCACATTGTCCTCCAGGTAAACTTCGCCTGGCACTGATTGCCCAAGGCAGTGACCCCAGGACTCTTCCACCTCTTCAGCACCTAACACAGCTTGGAAGATCTGCAGAGCTACATCAATATTATATAGATGAGATTGCTCTCTTGCGGACCACAAGAGCTCTGGGCAACCATAGACTTCATCTCTCATCTCCATCCCCATTTACAAATGTGCAACTGAAGTGCAGAGAACTAAGACTGTTAGGGGCAGAGGTGACAGGATGCCCTGTTGGTTGCTTCCTAGGCCTGGTGTCTTCCCCACATATCACACAGCTGTCTAAATTCCCCTCCCTACAGGAGAGTGACAATGTATACACAATATGAAGCTGGGGGTGTGGGTGGTGATAGGGGGAGGTGATACCTGAGGGGAGACCTGTGCCTACCTCGGGGGCTTATGGACAGATGGATTATTCTTTTCCAAGGCTGCAAGGTGGAGTCCATCTACCTGAATGTGGAGGCCGTGAACACACACCGGGAGAAGCCTGAGGTAGGTGGAGGACGCCGTTGCCCAAGCTGGCTGTGGACACAGCACATGGTGAAAGCACCTTCTCCACAGAAAGGCTGCCCAACCCACCGAGCCTGGGTGTTTTGCACCAACAGGCAGAGCAACCAGCACCCAGAAATGCAGGAACCACAGCCCAGCCCTCAGGCACATGGAGATGGAGAGCTGGGCAGTTCCTGCCAAAAAGTCCTCAGGCTGAAATTTCCCCAAAGCCTACCTGAGGGTCAGGATCCAGGCCTGGCTGAAAGAGGGGAGCCTGGCAGTGAGGACAAGAGGCAGGGGAGGGGCTGGGACCCTACCCTGCTGTCTCCTTCCTATTAATCCCGCGCTCTCTCTTCAGAATGTGGACATCACCCGGGAACCTGAGGAAGCCCTGGATACTGTCCCTGCCCACTACTGAGCCCTTTCCATGAAGTCAAACTGCCTGTGTCCTCATTGCCTTCCACCTTTAGGAAATGCTGTCTTTGCTCTTCTTCTACTCTGCCTTGTCCTCACGGAGGCACCCCACTTCCAGTGAAGAAGTCCTCAGCAGCTCCCAAACGAGCCTTGTTTATTGGCCGCAACCAAGGAGCTATCTAGCTCTGGATGAAACTTACTTTCTTAATTCCTATTCTCTGATGAATAAAGACTTACTGCCTACAAGAGGAGAGGAGGAGGTCATGGCGAGGCTTTTCCAATTGTTCTTAAGGTACTGATCCTAATCCTGACTCGGCTCTACTGCTGAGAGCATGGAATGGGTGAGTGCTTCCTGGAAGGAGGTTCTACAGTAGCACCTCCAAAGATGGGGGAGAAGATAGGTGCCTGTGAGTGCCTGTGGGCCTTGTTCCTTGATGAGCAAGGTGGCTGGGGGCACGACACTTTCATCCTTACGCTCAGAGAAGAATCTGGCATTTGAGCCAGGTGCTCCTCTCTTCTCCAGCTCTTGCTGCCATCCTGAGTGATTTCACTGTTTATGTGTATGATCTAACCAATACTCTGGCCTCCCAGTCCCCTGAGCCCCTCAACTCCAGTGATCATGTTCTCCCCTTCATCCACCTGCTCCATGGATTTTGGTATCATCTCTCTGGTCTGACTTCTTAAATACAAGCATCCAACTGTCTGACCACTGCCCAACCCCAACCCCAGTCCTTACAACTGAATCCCAGCGGCATGCCTCCATACAAAAGGCATATATGTAGTATTACCTTTTTTCGTTTTTGAGACAGGGTCTCACTCTGTCACTCAGGCTGAAGTGTAGTGGTGCAATCTTAGCTCACTGCAGCCTCGAACTCCTGGGTTTAAGCAATCCTCCCACCCCAGCCTCTCTTACAAGTAGCTGGGACCACAGGTGCACACCACCATACCCAACTAATTTTTAAATTTTTTGTAGAGACGAGGTCTCACTATGTTATCCAGGCTAGTTTCAAACTCCTGTGCTCAAGCGATCCTCCCATTTTCGCCTCTCCCAAAGTGCTGGGATTACGGACATGAGCCACTGTGCCCAGCCTGTAGTATTTCTTGAATGAACAATATTTGTTGCTGTATAGCATCAAGAGCAGAGTCCTTTGAATGCTCTATTGTCCCCCAGTCTATCCTTAGTGTTCTGTCCCTAACTGTTGGATCCTCTGGTCTAGCTCTTCAGCCACTCTTCATGCAGCTACTCTAAGCCAGGTGCCAGCGACCCAGTGGTAAAGAGACAGACTCATAAACTTGCTGCCTTTGTTCCCTTATCCTTCCATCACAACCACCCAGCAAGACCTAAACCTTGCCTAATCCACTTCTCCTTTTTTTGCTATTGTCTACTACAAAAGTTGCTGATCACTGCTTGAAGCAGATCTATATTTATCTGCGTCCACAGCCACCCTTAAGTCCTATTCAAAATCAGGGTCGTCTTCTCTGGTACCCTATTCCATCCTACCTTCTCAGGGATGGGCTACTTCAGTTAATTCCTGACTCTTCCATATCGATCTCCTGTCCCTATTAGCTTTTGCCTCACAGTCTATACAATATGCTCAAGTTTTCCTCTCCTATTCTAATTAAACCCTCCCTTGTTCCTATGTCTACACCTAGTGATCTCTGCCTTTCCCTCCATTCTTACACCAATGGCTCAAAATCAATCTGTACTTAGTGTCCACAACCCTCTCCCTTTGCCTTCTGCTCCAGGCTTTCCCTGTCCATCTTTCCCCAAGCTGTTATCCTCTTGCCTGCCATGCGTTCCCCAGGCTGCTATCTTGCCTTTGAGCCAAAAGCTGGAGCCCCACGTTCTCCAAAGAGCTTTGCTGATCTCCAGCTCTTCTATGAACCCAAGATGTCACTCTACAGCTACCTAGGCACATTAAAAGACAGAAAAAAACTCCAATTCATGTTGCAAATTTAATGTAACTCTGATACCAAAATATGACAGCACACAGAAAGCAAACAATAAAGCAGGAACAGCAAACAGATTTTTTCATCATGTGACACCCTCAGCTGATTGGTTGTAGCTGCTTAGACTGCTGTGTGGACAAAGATTCCAAGGATGTACTTTGGCTCCATGGAAAGGACTACTGCAATTTATTAGCGGTATCTGTAAACATGGGGAATAAATCTGAAATCAAAACAAATAGGAAAACATTTTAGCACCAAATATACTGTCTTCTCATAATTCCTTCATTGCCCTCATCTTTCCACCCCGCTCACCTGCCTCAGTGTTTCTTATAACATCTCCCAGCACTTATACCCATCCCTGTGGATCCTGGCTATGGAAATATTGTAATTACCTGAAATCTCACTAGCCATAGGAGAAGCCACAGGCACCAAGGCTGGCGGCTCCACTGCCAAAGCCAACACTGGTGCTTGGTCCACCACCAAAGCCAGCACCAGTGTTTGGTCCACCGCCGAAGCCAGCTCCTGTGCTCGGTCCACCGCTGAAGCCACTGGTGCTTGGTCCACCACTGAAGCCAACACCAGTGCTTGGTCCACCACTGAAGCCAACAATAGAACTGGGTCCACTATTGAAGCCCGTGCTGGTGCTGGGTTCGCCAGTAAAGCCAGTGCTGGTGTTGGAACCACTGCCAAAGCCAATGATGGTACTCAGTCCTCTGTCGAAGCTGGCATTAGGCCTACTGCCAAAGCCATCGCTGGTGCTGAGGCCACCACTAAAGCCAGCACTGGTGCCAAGTGTGCTGCCGAAACTAGCATTGGTGCCCAGTCCACCACCAAAGGCACCACTAGTGACCAGTCCACCACCAAAGCCAGCACTGGTGCCCAGTCCGCCACTGAAGCCAGCGCTGGTGCCCAGTCCACCACCAAAGCCAGTGCTGGTGCCTGGTCCTCCACCGAAGCCAGCGCTGGTACCTAGCCCACCATCAAGGCCAGAACTGGTGCTTACGCCGCCACTGAAGCCAGCACTGGTGCCTAGGCCACCACCAAAGGCAGCACTGGTGCTCAGTCCACCACCAAATCCAGCACTGGTGCTTAACCCGTTGCCAAAGCTAAAGCCGGTACTGGTGCTGGGTCCATCACCAAAACTAGGGCTGGTAGCACCACTAAAGCAGGCACTGGTGCTAGGAGGGCCACCAAGGCATAGGTTAGTATTAGATGCACTGCCAAAGCAAAGGCTGGTGCTGGGAGCTCCACCAAAACAGAGACTGGTGCTGTGAGCACCACCAAAGCTGACACTGGTGCTGGGAGCAGCACCAAAGCCAATGCTGTTGCTGGGAGTATCACCAAAGTCTGTAGTGGTACTAAGTGCCCCACTGAAGCCAGCACTGGTGCTGAATGCACCACCAAAGCCAGGGTTGGTGCTGGGTGCACCACTGAAGCCAGCACTGGTGCTGACAGCACCACTGAAGCCGGCACCAGTGCTGACGGCACAGCCAAAGCTGGCATTGGTGTTGAGTGCACCACCAAAGCCAGCACTGGTGCTGGGAGAGCCACCAAAACAGACACTGGTGCTTAGTATACCACCAAAGTCAGTACTGGTGCTGATAGCACCACCAAAACCAGCATTGGTGTTGAGTGCACCGCCAAAGCTGACACTAGTGCAGGGAGAGCCACCAAAGCAGACACTGGTGCTGAGTGTACCGCCAAAATCAGCACAGGTGCTCATAGCACCACCAAAACCAGCACTGGTGTTGAGCGCACCACCAAAGCTGGCACTGGTGTTGAGAGCACCACCAAAATTGGCACTGGTGCTAGAAGAGCCACCAAAGGAGACACTGGTACTGAGTGTGCCTCCAAAGCCAGTACTGGTACAGGGAGAGCCATCAAAGCAGATACTGGTACTGAGTGTACCACCAAAGCTACCACTGGAGCTGGGAGAGCCACCAAAGCAGACACTGGTGCTGAGTGTGCCTCCAAAGCCAGTGCTGGTGCTAAGCGCACTACTGAAGACTGTGCTCGTTGTGGGTGCACTGCCAAAGCTGGTGCTGGTGCTGAGTACACCACTAAAGCCAGCAGTGGTGCTGAGTATGCCTCCAAAGCCAGAGTTGACTCCACCACTGAAAGTGGCACTGGTGCTGAGTGGGCCACTAAAACTAGAGCTGACTCCACCACTAAAACTGGCACTGGTACAAGGCATGCCACCAAAGCTAATGCTAGATTCACTGCTGAAACTAGTGCTGGTGCTGGGTGTACCACCAAAGCTACTGCTGGCTGCATTGCTGAAGCTGGAGCTAGTGCTCAGTGTGCCACCAAAGCTAATGCTGGCTGTACTGCTGAAGCTGGCACTGGTGCTGGGTGCACCACCAAAGGTAATGCCAGGTCCACCACTGAAGCCACCACTGGAGCTGGGTGCACCATTGAAGCTAATACTAGCACCATCGCTGAAGCCAGCCCTGGTACTAGCTCCTCTGCTGAAGTTGACGTTGGTGCTGGCATCTGCATTTTCTTGGGCTCTCGCCTCAATTTCAAATGAAAATCTGCTCCAGGTCTGAGCATCATCGCCTAACTCTTCCCTTGTTAGGCAGTCGATATCCATGTCATCCCAATTCCAGGGCCCAGCCACAGCTTCCTCTCCAATCCCCATTTGGGCTCTTGCCTCAGCCCTGGCTTCAGCCTCAGCCACAGCCACAGCTGCAGCTTGGACTTCCATCTCCACTGCCTCGCGGTACTGCACAGCCCAGTCCTTGGGGTCTTTCTTCTGCACCTGAAATGGGGATGATAATCATAAGGAAAATAACTCTAGTAATCATGTATTAATCTATGGGCTTTGTATTGTACTAGTAGTGATAAATTTTTTTAACTTTTTAGTTATTGGGGCTCTTTCATGGGTCAGTCCTGAAATCTAGTTTCAGCTCTGATGACTTACGTGCTATATGACCCTGGACAAGTTACTTAACCTCATTTAGCCTAAGTGTCTTCATTTATAATTACAGGAAATGATAAGAGAGTAAATATGTTATGAACTGAAGGGTTGTGCCCACCCCCAAATTCATATGTTGAATCCCTAATCCCCCAGTGTGATTGTATTTGGAGATAGGGCCTTTATGGAGGTAATTAAAGCTAAATGAGGCCATAAGGGTGGGGTCCTGATCCAACAGGATTAGTGTCCTTATAAGAAGAAACGCCAGAAAGCTTGCTCTCTCTCACACACATACACAAAACCATGTGAGGACACAGCGAGAAGGCAACCATCTACAAGCCAGGAAGAGAGAGCCTTCACCAAGAACTGACCCTGGTGGACCTTGACCTGGGATTCTCACCCTCAAGAACTATGAGAAAATAAATTTGTTTTCTCATCCACCCAGTCTGGGGTATTTTGTTATGGCAGCCCATGCTGATTAATACAAAGTATGAAGAATGAATGAGATGATGTAAACTATATATCTAGCAGCACTTTAGGACATAAATGAGGCTCCATATGTTTATATATGAACTGCAGGCTGCTCTGTACCTGCCCATCCCTGTGCATTGCCTGCCCCAGCCAAGGTTATCCCATTGCCTTAATATGCCAAGCTCGGGCAGCTCTCCTATTACCTTGCATGCAAACTTGAGGACTTTCATCTTGCTAGTCTCATGGTAGGAGCGCAAGCCCCAGAAGAACTCATATTCAGGTGGTCTGCTGTTAGGGACCCTCTTGTATTCCAGGTACCTTGGAAAAAGGAAATGAAACTTGTTTCTAACCAAGCAAACCTGCTGTCTAAGCACTAGATGCCAGGTGGCAACCTTCTTCAAACAAATACAAATAGCCCCTGGAGAAGGGTTTCTAAGACCCTTCAGCCTCAAACTAACTACCAAACATAGTTCACAGTCTTGGCTTCCAATACTGAGCCATTTCCCACTGGCCCTGTGCAAAGCAGTCCCTTGGGTTTCTCCAGGGGAGACATGTATAGGGCATGATGTCACAGGAAGGCCAAAGTATCATGCCATCTGTGAGGAGTAAGCCCACATTCCTGTTGGGTGTGTTGTAAACAGAGGAGCCATTCTTAAGGCCCCCTGCTCTGAGCACACCTCACTGCAAGGGCCTTGGGTTGAGGCTGTCCCAGTCCTGTAAAGGTCTGGCCATGGGAATTTTAGACAGTATCAGTTCTAGGACACAGGATGCCCGTCCCTCTCAAGCTAGTATAAGAAAGGCACTGACTAAGCACTTTCTGAACAAGATCAGTATACCGAGAAAACTTCAGGGCCAGACAGAGCCCCAAACACCACTTACTTCTGCTTCACAAACTCGTCTGTGATGAGCTTCCTCACTTCCCCAAAGAGTGAATGCCTCACCCTGACAATGGGAAAAATAACCCATGAACACAGATCAGAACTGCCCAGATGAGGGCAGAGCCATTTCTCAACATGGAAGAGACCTCTCTAGTGCATAGGGCAGTCTCAATGAAGCAAAGAAAGTAGTGAGCACATGGCCACTAGACGCAAGCATTTGAGACCAGATGTCGCTTTGTCAGGGATCCCTGAAGGTCTATCTAACATCTCAGCTTAGAACAGACAGAGGACATAGAGGAGAGACAGAGCAGACAGTTCAGGACCATTTGCCCATCATCCACCCAGGTCAGAACCCTGGGCCCTCTACCCAATCCAGCACCCCCACCCACTCCACCAGACCACCAGATTGATGCAATCCTAGGACCGTCCTCTCTTGCCAAAGGACAACATGGACAGCAAGCGCGGAGAGAGCCCAATCATACCCAGGGCGCAGCCCCAACTTGCGCAGCACCTCCCAGATGACAGCTGCGAGGGGAGGCAAGAGGAGACAGGGACAGAAGTTGAACACATGGAATCCAGACCATGGCCTCCCGTTCAGCTGCATGCCCAGCCACTCACCCTCACTGGCCTTGTTGCCATTCATAAAAATGACACTCAGAATCACCATGAGGAGACCCAGCTTGGGTGTGTCCTTGGTCCTAAGGGAATAACAGGACAGAAAGAAGGTTTATGTTCAGCACCCATCCGCAAGACACACCAGCCAGCTCACTAGGCTAGCCTCTCCCAGATTCCTCAGATGCAGAATTCTGCCCAGTCTCTGCTTCCAGCTCTATGCCACCCTGGGAAAGGCACTTAGACTTGCAAGCCTTGGTCTATTATTCAGTAAAATGGGAAAATCATATTCTCCCTTCCCCAGGTTGCCAAGAAGAATGGAATATCAAGCTGGTACAACACAAGCCCTCAGTCAATGTGAGTCCCTTCTTTCTCTCTCAGAACCTTCAGCCCCACTGACACTTCTGCACTTCATGCATCCTGACCCACCCACAACAGGAAGCCCTCCTTGAGAACCACTCTGCCAAGGCCAGGCCAGGCACTCGGACAGAACAGGCAATGACAGGCCTGCTTTCCTGGGAAGCTTCTAAAGAGACAGCAAAGCTGACAGCAGGACTGTCCCATCCCAGGCTCTTATACCCTTCAGTCAATCATACTCAGGTGCCACTACTGTGAGCAAGGCTCCAACTGTGTGCGGGAGCTGAGACAGGGCTTTTGAGACTCCGTTTTTCCTGACTCTCTAAGAGGATGGGGGAAGTAGGACAAAGAAGGGGTAGCAGGATGGATAAAAGCAGAAGCCCCCTTCCCATCCAGCCCTTTCCCAGCTTACGTTCCCAGTATGCCTGCAGAGGATTCCTGAGTGCTGATGAGAATATACAAGCTACTTTGCTTATCAATTTCTTTCAGATTGACTCGAAACATCTGCCAAGTGAAAGAACAGCCTATGAGATCACAAAATTCAGCTTAGGTATCAGTGAACTTTCTGGGCATCCTAAAACTCCTGGTGTACTTAGGGGGTTTTGCATGTGTGAGAACTCAGTGAGATAATGCATATAAAGCACCTAGCTAAGTGCCTGGCACCCAGTAAACATGCAGCAAACATACTACTGTCATCAACATCATCTTTGTGATGAGCAGGAGTCTAGAGAGACAGAGAATGGGGATAGAAGGGGGAGGTGAGCTCTGAAATACATGTGGAATGTGTCCAACCATGGATAGAAGCTGAGACTAAGTTGAGTGACTCAGGTCCTAGCCATGCTTTCATCACTGACTTGGTGTGTGACCCCTGGCAAGTCTACACCTCTCCCTAGGCCACCATCTGCCCATGCGCACAGTAATGGGGCTGGATTAGCAGGTCTCCGTGGTTCTCTCCAAAAGGGACATGTATATCTTGGCTCAATTCAAAGCTTCCCCATTGTGCCCATCCACCAGCACTGCGCCTTCACCTTCTCCAGAGCGTAGCTTGCTCGTTCAATGATTTCTGGGAAATATTCATCATATTCTTGGATGACATCCCTCAGCATGTCTGTAGAAAAGGAGAGGTGAAAGTAGCTGAGCTTAGCAGGGGCCACAGAGCTGCAGCCCTTTTGCGAGTCCAGTTGGGTCAGTGCAACCAGAGACCTGAAGTAAGTGAGTTAATGGGCGATGCCAGCCATGGCAGAGTGTGAGGAGGGCGGGTGTGGAGATATGAGAGAACGAAGAGGCCATAAAGTGTTACTCCCAGACTATGGGAGGAGAGGGGAGTGGAGCGGAGAGCTCAAGGAGGAGGGTTGGTAGGACACTACCTGAGCGCTTGATGGGGATCTTTGTCTGGTCCTTAACCAACAGGTATTTCACCAACTTATTAGCCTGGGAGGAGAAGAATAGATGGAGAGATCTTAACATGTTTGCAGAACACTTGGAAGGTGGCAGAGAAGAGGGCAGGTGAAGAAGAGAAGAGACTGGACAGCATTTGATTCTTACCCTTTCTTGTAAAATGGCCACATCTCGCGGTGGCGCAGGCCTCCAACCCCATGGGATCCGCCTGTAATTACTGCCACTTCTCTCATCCCCATTCAGATGCTTGGACTTCATCATCAGAAAGAAGGAAGGTCCAGAGTCACCAGGTGAAAGAGATGACTCTGTCTTCTCACTTTGCCTCCTCCAGACAAAAGTCCCTCTAACACCTTCCCCCCGCCTTGCAATAGTAGAGCCTGATCCTGACCTTGCAACTCGCCACCCTGAGTCCTGAGCTTATCTTTCACTGTCTTCCAGGAAGAAATTTCATTCCTCTGCCAGGCCAGGAACAACTGAAGATAAGAGCCTAAGGGTCTTTCTCTTCCTCTGGCCACCACTGATTATGCTAGCTGGTACCTCTTGAACAAGTCACTTCATTCCTCTGGGACTCAGTTCTCTTACATGTAAAACTGGGACCTATGATCCCTTGCTGGTAAGAGTTACTTTCAAGACATTCAGACATACCCTCTGGAAATGTACCCAACACAAAGCATGGCACACCATAACTACTATTTAAATACATGTAGAATTATATACAGGTTGTAAGAGGTGTAGGGATGTCTTATTTCCCCACCAATCTATGAACTGCTAGAGGGCAGAAACTATATCACCTTCTTCTCAGCATCTTCCACTGCCTATCTGAACACAGGGACTACCTCAAAGAAAAAAGGCTCAGTAAACTTTTATAGAAGAAATGAACAAACTAAAAGGGTAGAAATGGAAAAGAAGGACAAAGTTAAGGATGGTAACGTCAGAGATCTCACCTTTCGGTTTCTCTTGCCCCGGGTCCTGGTTGTGGGCTCCAGACTCAACTGAGCCAGATAGTCATCTGCCAGGGCCTGGACAGCAGCAGCAACCTGAGTCTGAAGGGCACTTACGTTGGTCTGAGCAGTGGCCATCTTGGCCTGGGACCCTTGGTCAGCAACTGGAGTCTGGCTTTCAGTTGCCCGAGACTTAGTGGCAGCCTTCCGAGCCCTAGACCCTCTCTTGACCCGCAGGGTGGCTGCTAGGGCTTGATTTGTGACCATTTGAGTGGTAAGTGGGGCTTCAGAGATCTCAGAAAGAGAATTTGGGCCTCTACTGGCAGCCTTCTTGCCCTTGGACTTTTTGGGCCTGATAGCTACTACTGAGGCCTCGATCTGCCTGGTAGCTGCCTCAGTGACATTTCGAGCCGCTACATGCTCAGTGTCAGTATTTATGACCTTAGCAGTTGTCTTCTTGGCTTTGGAGGCTTTCTTGGTTCGGATGGAGGCTGCTGTGGTGTGGATACTGGCTGTCTCACTGGTAATTTGGCCTTGGGTGATAGCTGTATGTGTGGCATTTGGAGCCAGTGAGGCCTCGGTGGCACTAGCTATGGCCTTATTTGCAACCTTCTTAGCCTTGAAAGCTTTCTTCGGTTTGATAGAGGTTATCAAGGCCTGGGAACTGGCTGACTCATTGGCAACTGGAACGTGAATATTCTGTGAGATGACTGGTAGGTTTAGGACCTGCAAGGGTGACTTGAACTGTGTAGTGACACCCTCATAGCCAGCTGGGGATTGGGAGCCTTGGGCTGACTTGGCAGTAACTCTCTTCATCTTGTTGGCTTTCTTAGGCTGAGAAGTGACTGAAGAAGCCTGAGTATTGGCTACCTCAGTGGTAGGTGAAGCCTGGCTGATCTGGGTGATGACTGGCAGGTTTAAAGCCTGCAAAGTTATTTTGGGCTTGTTGGTGGCAATCTCACTGGCAGTTGGGACTGGAGGGGCAGCAGGTGCAGCCTTAGTAATAGCCTTTATAGGGGCCTTCTTGGTCTTGCTTTTCTTAGGCCGGTTGACAACTGGTGGGTCCATGGCCAGGGGGTCCTTGGTTGCCGCCAACAGGGTATGCATCAGCAAGACACTGTCCTCTTCTGTGGTCTCAGTCTGTAAATCTGGAGGGAAGGGAAGCCCCAGGCTCCCAGGGGGAGGCAGAGGGCCCTACACACTTAGGATTACAATCCTCTGGGCCATCTGGCCTCCCTAAAGCCCGCCCCATTCCACAAAGGCCTTCCCTTTCTCTGAGCAGTGGTTAATTGAAATGGGGTGGGGGAAAGGTGTAGGGAGCAAGGAAGGAATAGAGTCAGGCAGGTTTTCCTCTCCTCTCCTTCACCATGTAAGTGAGGACTGAGACGGGTTAGGCAGGGAATTATGCAACTACATGGTGGAAGGGGTCTGAAGAGCAGTAAGTGAACTCAGGACCGGGCAGATGGCCTAGAGAGAATGTAGAGAGGCCTCACC